TTACATTCAGTGAAAATAAACAATGAACATGTTGTTTCAGGGACAATTGTTTCTCGCTAAAATAAATTATTTTACAGTCCCCACACTTTCTGGGCTGCAAAGTACATATATCAAATACTGTCGAACACTTTATTTTCCTTAGAATTAATTTTCGCTATTTTCGCTGAAGGAATGAAAATAAAATCCAGCGAATATACAATTGTTCCTATAGTTTACATTCAAGTCGTCAAAAATCAGTGAAAATAAACTCCATACAAAACACCCAAAAATCAATTCCAGCTAAAATAAAGTATTTTACAGTACATGATACCATATGAAGACAGTGGACTCTGGGTAACCTTAGCTGGAGAACATTTTTTGATTACGACCTATTTTTGCAAACAATCAGCCTTGTATTTCCCCAATAGAACCTTTTAAAATTGACAACTCTTAATTATAAACAAAAACATTTGACATAGGCTTTGCGATGTGAACAAATCTAATCTTGCTCTGCTATAAATACTTGTAAAATGTTTATTTATATTTTGTAATATAACAGTAATTAAAAATTTTAATTTGATTTGATTAATGAATGATGCTTGATGATGCTTTTCATTACCTGCTAATGAGGGCGCCTCTGTATCTTGCATCGGTTTAGAAATTTCATGTTTCAATTTCAGTTTAAAAAAATCATATGTAGCCAAAAGAGGTTTGATTAGTAAAACATTCAAAAACCTGATTACAAATATATGTTAGGAAAGGCAATGAAAATTCTTCTGTTGCCATGGCAATACAACTATCATTTGTTCACGAAATTAAACTACTTATTACTGCACACATATATTTGTTAAATGAATACATTACACATTGATAATAAAATATAAAACTTCAAAAAAACTTAATACATAAAGGAAAAATTATTTATTTACACAATTGCATTTCAGTAATGTAAAAAAGTCATATATTATTACCAAATCCAGTGCTACCTTATATGGTCATTCTAATTAGCATATTGCACAAAATCTTCCAAAGAAATCAATATTAGCCAAGTTGATTTCACTAATAGCCTACTACATCCTTACACCTCATCAAAACTTTTATGTTGATGTAACCGCTTTCAATATACACCAGCGTGCAATGCTAGAATGCAATTTTAAAATTAACTTGTTTTATTCTACTTTACACCTAACGAAAAGTATACTTGTAAATTTAATCAACCTCTTGAATTGAATGACCTTCTCATAACTCTATAAGGAGATGATATATAACCTTATAAATTGGGTTTGTTTATTTCATTGTCTATTACACTCATAGTTGCATATTATTTGTACGGAAAACACCTCCAGAAAATGCTTATTGTGCGTCTATGTTGACTGTGCTTCAACGTAATTGCACTAGCGGGCTTATCCCCCAAAGTACCAGTATGTGTGACCTTCACCTACATATAATTTGCTAAGTGACCTTAATTGATATAGTTAAAATTCCATCTTTTACTGAATGTTATACATGAACAGCATCAATGTGGTATCTGTCAAATACTGTAAAATACTTTCGCTTGGAATTTATTTTCGCTATTTTAGCTGAAGGGATGATTCCGTGAAAATAAAATCCAGTGAATATGCTTTTCTTTCCTATATTTCACATTCAACTCGACAAAAATCAGTGAAAATAAATTCCATAAAGAATAACCAAAAAGCCTTTTCAGCGAAAATTAATTCCAGCGAAAATAAAGTATTCCACAGTATGATGAAAGGGAACATAGATGCATGTTACTTCACCTAAACCAAACCAGAATGCAACATACTATAGCTTATAACAGATTTTTTAGTTCTTTACCAAAAACACAAATGTCTAATAAGATTAAAGAAATATAAGAAATATATATATATGTTTCTACACTTAGTAAAACAGTACATTCTGTTATATGGCAGAAGTGGGTACAGATACAGTTTCTATGGAAATGCCAGATAGTATAACACAAGATCATACTTGTATGAAACTACGGTGTCCCATTTTAATTTTGGCATAATGCCAAATAAGATGGTTCAAAATATTTGTCTTTGTTCTGCTGAGGAAAATGAAAAGCTTTGTCACTATGAATTAAGGATTTTCTCACAACTGAATGAAGAAAAATATTAGGAAGTAGTATCATTACATGCATAATCCAAGTTTCCATTTCATTTCGGCTTCTCCAAATGATTAAGAAATTTTTATATGACATGTTTTGATAGTATTAGAACATATTCATTTGTGAAACACTGGTGCTAAAATTTCAGGTTGTAATGAGCATCGCAAAACTTGTGATCTCTAAAGAAAATGTTATATCGATTTTAACATGATATTTAACGGATATTCAAACTGTAATTGCAATCATCTCCTTAGATAACTTAGACAACAATGTATTTTTCAGCAAGGTGACTGATCCAGTTTGAACAAATTGCAGTGTACAAATTTTGTATCTTGAACATAGACAAGTTTACCTTGTGAACTATCATACTGAGTTACACTTCCAGGTTATACTGTACAATATGACAGATTAAATGAGAGATTGACGACATCTTCCCTGACTGCATAGCATTCATGATGACATGTATCGTCACTTCCTGGAATGCAACATAGTGTCTAGTTACAGCTCACTGAACAGCTCATTATGTACAGGGTTTAGATTAAAGGTATTTTGTTTCTGTGTTTTAATTTCAGCCTTCACATATGAATGCAAAAATAACTATTATTTTTGTTCAATTTGGACAGCTAGAACTCGGTGAACATAGTTATGTCAATGTATAATTGATGACGTTGACACCAGTTTCAATGACGCAGAACAAGGAGAGTTCAAAAGCCGAATTTTCTACGAAATCCAAATAACTTGGCTTGTGCATGTGATAATGGCAATGAATTAGTTGTTTGTTTTATTGAAAACATTACAATCTATAATATCACAAAGCAGTTCAGTGTGCCAAATCAAAAATCTAAATTTCGCAGTTTGGGAAAATACATGTTTTTCACTGAAAAACATTCACAATAAGTATAAAAAAAAAATTATGAGGTAACAGAATAATTTCATATTACACAGTAGTGAGAAATATTTGATATAAATATAATAATTAATAAAGTGTAATGTAATTAAAAATACATTAATATAT